CCAGTAAAATTGTTTGTCCCTATAGCACTGCAAAATCAAAAGAAAGTTAAATATTCTTTTGTTTGTCATCAATTGAAATATTAAACTTTTTTCGATTTCTTAAAATTAAATAACAGGATCTCGAAAGGGCATTGTTTTCTTACAGCAAAATAAGGTTTTGTAGTTTGCCCAGCTCAGGGGGAATGGGCCCAGACAATGCATTAATGCCCAAACTCCTAAAGATTGTTATATAAATGTCAGGCATGAAAGAATATATAATAAGCATATGCAATTTTTCTTATACCTTCTAGAATTTGTTTGGAAAGACATCTTACAGGTACTGCAAGGAAGTTAGATTTCCGATAAATGCAGGTAAATTTCCAGTCAAGTAGTTCTGACCTAACTTCCTGAGAAAATGACATATTATATCTTAGTTACCCACATTATCTATTCATATAATGGGTCCACTTCAATGGTAAATCGCAGTTAAAAGTATACATACAAATTAGTGAGATGAGGTAGCTCCTGGAGCTCTTCAGGTATAGTGCCAACCACATCTATTGCATATACTTTTCTGAAGAAATAACTGTCAATTAGTACAATTGATTACGTAATGTAGGATGATTCTTCTTTCCCCTCTCATGCATAATCACAATTTCTAGGTGAGGTATTTGTCAGAAGGCATCAATTTATTTTCATTCGTCCTTATCTCATTTCTGTTATCTTTTTTTAGTTGAGACTTATTTCATTACATGATGATCCATCAAAGTATTAGCTTCTTTGCTGAATAAAATAAAGGGGATGCATATTAGAGAGATTTCAGTAATTACAGGTGGGTGATATGGCAAAATGTAGTGTTGGAAGTGCAGTCGCATTTGATGAATGGGTTTATGTCAGTGTTTTCAAAGCTGGTAGAGTCGTTGGCAGCTCCGCTGCATGGTTCACCACTGATGTTCCAGGCCGATGACGCCTGCTTTCCCCATCTCCCGAGTATTGTGTTCAGTGCTTTCACTATCACAATACGCACATGTACAAGTTAGTATATTTTGATAAGAACATGCTAACTTACATCAAGATTTGTTGAATCTTCAACAATTATACTTTTCCCTTGGAAATTTCATTTAAACTGTCTTTGATACATCAAGATTTGTTGAATCTTCAACAATTATACTTTTCCCTTGGAAATTTCATTTAAACTGTCTTTGATTTATACCTCTGCAGGTTTAGGATCAAGAGAATATATAATTCTATTACGATATCACCAATCATCTAATGGTGACATAATATATAATGTAAAGTACAAGCGCAAGTTGTGTGCAACCGTTTATCGATTGACCAAGTAAATTATGTCATTATGATGATTTATCGAGTACTAAGAAATTGTTTTATTTGCAACTTGTATCATACTCTCCTATTTACTGTTAATAACATGGGCAAAAATAATACATAATGGAAACTCAACTTAGCATTTGACATGAGTAGTGATTGTGCCTGGTTAAGGAGCCTATTCATCTGAAAGTCAATAATATTTAGTTTAGACCAAATATCTTCTGCAATAGTTTATTACTGGGTTACTAGATCAGTTCATAACTCCTACAGATTTAATTATTTCCTTTTATCATTGACCATAATAAGGAGTGAACTTACATCCTAAATGTTACAAAAAGAAAGAAAGAAATTTCAAAGGGGATGTGTCACCTTAATATGTAAAAACCTGGAAAAAATATTAATGCTAAAATTGTATTCCTCCCTTTTGGTGAGACCCAAAAGTGGATGCATTTGAAAGAAATTGAGACTTGTTTAGAAAATTCCCTCAATTAAAATAGATTTTAAAATACAAATAAAACTTCTGGTCTCTAGCAATTTATATCTAGAAACCAATTCAACCATTTCTCAAAAAAGAAAACAAGTCAACTACATGACCTGGCTTCAATTTATATCTAGAAACCAATTCAACCATTTCTCAAAAAAGAAAACAAGTCAACTACATGACCTGGCTTCATCCTTATCCAGCTAGTTCCAGCACAACTGTGACAAACTTTCGAGGATCGACGAGAAAGAAAAGAGGAAAAGAGTATAAAAAGGATAAAATCAATACCTATTTATTTGTGATTTATCAACTGATTTAAAGTTCTTTTATTAGTAGAGATGACCAAAATCTTTCTTAATCCTCACAAATAGATTAGACCGAGGGATTATACTCTAAAACCCAACATATAGTTCCGCAAAGAGGTTTCTAACAGTATAATATCAGCTTGAACTCAAAAGTAAAGCTAGAGAAAGCGATGTATGTACCTTCAGCAGGGTCAGTTTTGTTTTGAGCAGAGGATCTCTCAGTTGAAAGCAACAAGACGCAGAGGATCAAGCAAAGGACAAAGAAATCTCTTGGAGAAGAGAATGATTGAGATTTTGCTAACGCCATCATCTTGCTTCTTTGTTCTCTTTTGAGGAGGAATTTAGCTAGCTAACCCAGTCGAAAAGTTGAATTTGATGAATTTTAGTAGTTGGTGGCTCTACTAGTTGTTTTGATGCTCTCTATATAATAATAGAACAAATTTTTTAAACAGACCCATTTCAATTTTTAATTTTCAAAACCGACTCTTTTTTTTTTATTTACCAAAACCGACCCGATTTTATGATTAGCAGATTAATCACCTTCCTAAATAGTCGGGGTTGGCAACCCCGACTATTTAGGACGGTGTTAAACCCTAATTAGAAGCATTAAACCCTAAAAATTAATGTCCTAAATAGTCGGGGTTGCCAACCCCGACTATTTAGGAAGGTGATTAGTCTGCTAATCACAAAATCGGGTCGGTTTTGGTAAATAAAAAAAAAAGAGTCAGTTTTAAAAATAAAAAGTTGGAATGGGTCTGTTTAAAAAATTTGTTCATAATAATATTTTTAGAGTGAATATTATAAATATTATTATTATTTAGTAGAAATGGTCAATAGGATTGCAAGGTACACATGGTGGCTGAGGCCGAGCACATGGTGATTTGAATTGTTTTGGCCTTTTCTTTAGTGTGTCTTTATCTGAGTTGGGTGGGTACATTCTTATCTTAGTATTTTACTTTTTTGTTGAATTTTATACGTAAAGAAGTTATCCACAGTCTTTTGCACTATGAGCATCAAATCTTCAAACATGGTTAAGAGGCACTCTTAAGGGCATCTCCAACCATACCCTATTTCTCGCGTCATTTTTGTGCAACGATACTATTTATTCTCCAACCATGCCCCATTTCCTACGCCATTTTGGTGAAAATGAACAAGGCGACGCCATATTTGGCGTCGCACTATTCATCGCTCTATTACTGTTCATCAAGTTATTTTTTACCGTATTTTATTTTCTGTTGTGTTCTTAAATGTAATATTTTTGTAATAAAAATAATAAAATAATACTTTATATTTGGCATCACACTATTCATCGCTCTATTACTGTTCATCAAGTTATTTTTTACCGTATTTTATTTTCTGTTGTGTTCTTAAATGTAATATTTTTGTAATATCAATAATAAAATAATACTTTATAATTTTACCCTAATAATATTAATTAATAAAATATTATTTTATTGTAATATTTTACCCCAATAATATTTTATAATATTTTACCCCAATAATATCTTAATTAATTGTTGAAATAGTTAAAATATAGGGAATAAAAATAATAATATAAAAGTAGATAAAAAGGAATATACTGAGAATATTCTTTTTTGATGCAAAAAATGATACAGTGGGTTGGAGATGAATTATTGTTTGATGTGACTTTTACACCATTTTAGTGTAAAATTTGCACCATTTTGGTGCGATTGGTTGGAGATGGTCTAACCTATGGCCACCAGTCTTTCAGTAAATTAAATTTTTTGGGTGTTCTTTAAGAAGAGTTGGACCTAAGATTCTAGAGTCCTGCTCATAGATAGTTTATCAAGTCAGCTAGATTCTCTTGGTATTTCTCAAGCTCTCTTTGAGTTTTATTTTTCTATAAAATAGAGAACATTTTAGTTCGTAAAAAGATAAAAAAAAACCCAATGTTCGTTGGTTTTGGGAGTGTAGAGCCAAACCTTAGAACAAGCACACAATGCAAAGATTTCTCTAAGTTAAGAAATCAGGCGAACTTGGAAGTTCAGCCGAACTTGATAGTTCAGGTGAACTTGATAGTTAACACGAACTTGGAAGTTCAGGCGAAGTCCAAAGCTAAGTTCAGGCGAACTTGTATCACAAGCAAAGCTAAGTTCAGGCGAACCCTAAGTGCAGGCGAACCCCAAGTGCAGACGAACTTCAAGTGCTCAAAACTATACAAATGTTACGGATATCAGATATTGGTTAATATTGATAATATCATGATACCATTGTTGATGTAGCTCCATTTTAGGTTGAAAATTATCAATTGAGAATATTTTATTCATATCGAGGGAATATGCATCAAAACTATACAAATGTTCGGCCAAGCAGCTGGATAATAAACGATAAAAAAAAAGAAGTTGTGAGAGGGATGATTTGTTGCTGATACAAGTTGATGAAGTTTTGAAAGGTCAAAGGCACAAGCTCTAGAATGGAGCGTGTCAACTCTTGTGCAGAACGCATCAAATTAGAGTCAATAGCCAAATGCTTTCACACTTGACGTAAGTAAAACTTTGCAGCTGGAAGAAGATGAGATGAAGAGACGTCAGCATATTTAATACTGCAGTATAGATAAAGCCATGAATGAGTTCAAACATTTGGATAATTTTCATACTCGATGTAGGTAAGACTTTAACCATGTAATTTATGTAAAAAATTGCATTTCTATTTTAGTTCAATTAAGCATATTGCCATGTTGGTACATCCTCATCTGTGTACTAAGCTTTTAATATTTTCTACCCGAAATTAGGGAGTATGGGTTAGTCATAATTGGATTCAAATCATACATAGATCAAGCCAGTTGACCCGTTATTAATTGGATAAGATTTGGATCTTACCTAATTGCTCAATAAATGCTAGGCTTATTTTCACTTTGGTACTCCAAACTTCACTATATTTTCAGGCAAAGTTCTTTTAAACACTCTGATATAGTGATATCCCACAAGTTGCAATTTCATTTCACTTTAATACTCCAACCTGGATATCATTACATATTATGTTAAACTAGTATTTAGACCCTTGCAAAGCACGGTTTTTAAATTATATTCTCAAATATTGATTATGTTAACAAAATTAAGTATTATGCTATAAATAATTGTAATATTCTGCTATAAATTCAGTTTAGTGTAAAAGTGAATTGAAAAATTAATTAATATTTGCTTATTATTCGTTTATTATTGATCAAGTTCGAAGTGATACTTCATTTAATACTAAAATATATTTTTTAGTATTGGGTTTATAAATAAATAAAATTTAACCAAACATATGCTTGATTAATTTGTTGTCGTTTATTAATTTGATAATTTTTTCATAGAAATTTAACCAAATATATGTTTGATAGTTCATTAACAGTTTTATTCGGTGGTCGAAGAGAGAGATAGAGAGGAAAAAAAACACTGAAACCTTTTCATTTCCACATTGATAGTTAAAAATAACAACAAACGCTTTCACCTAATTTCATCCCACCGCGTTCTTAAGTTTTGATGCGATAGGAAAAAAACAAAAGATTAGATTAATGAACAGCAAGCCCGATAAACAATTTGATAAGAATATAAGCACCCTTTATTTGTATAAAAATGTGATATTAGAACAATGCGGGTTAGTTATAGCTAGAATCTAGTAGCTGTGTTAGTTTAGCTACATTAATCAAAAAACATTACGTAGAAACTAAAATATCTCGGCACACAAAATGCAGGGCTTGTTTGGAATTTTTATTTTTCCCTTTGGAAATTAAGATGAAATTTTTTTTTTCCATTGAAAATTAAGATGATGAATCTCTATGAGGCTATGGGGTCATGTTTTGGTTTTTCCTTGGACTTATTCCAAATGTTTGTTATGTAAATTTTGTTTTACAAATGATACCCATTATATACCTATAAATATCAAGGAGTTGGGTTTTAGGGTTAGGGCATTCTCATTTTCATCTGCCCGCCGCCTCCTTCAGACTGAGCGATCGAATCCTCTCTCCTCTTTCTTTCCCTCTCCTCCTTCAAAACCGACTCCAATTGAAGATTAGGGCTTGGGTTTTCACGATTCTCCATATTCCTTTCGTTCACAATCACCTCAATCTCGTCGTTATTCGTAGCTCGTCGTCGACTTCGCCTTCGAAGCTCGTCGTCGACTTCGCCTTCGAAGCTCGTCGTCGACTTCGCCTTCGAAGCTCGTCGTCGACTCCTCCCTTGAATCTCGTCGGCGACTCCGTCTTCAAATGTCGTCGTCGTTTACGGTTTTAGGTAAAGAATTTTTTTTTTTTAAGATTTGTTGATTTAACCTGTAAAGATTGATAATTTCATTCTTTAATGCTGTCACTTTTATCATCTTTCATCTTTCATGCGATAGATCTCGAAAGACAGAAGGTCGGTCGTGCAGCGTCAGAGTTTTGTCACCAAGGTCTGATCTTTTTAGCCTACTACCTTTCTCATGTGGAAATTTTAGTTTGTTTGTTATTTATGAGTGAAGATTTAATTTTGCCTGATTATAGTTTTGTTTATTTTTCCTAAACTGAAAAGATACTAACTTTTTTTAGCCTTTATTGCATATATATAGATATATATAGATATATCTATAGATTTAACCTTTAAAGATTGATAATTACATTCTTTAATGCTCTCACTTTTATCATTTTTCATCTTTCATGCGATAGATCTCGAAGACAGAAGATAGGTCGTGCAACATCAAGAGTTTTGTAACAAAGGTCTGATCTTTTAGCCTATTATCTGTCTCATGTGAAATTTTGAGTTTGTTTGTTATTTATGAGTAATTATTTATTTTAGTTTGATTATTGTTTTGTTTATTTTTCCTAAACTGGAAAGATACTATCTTTTTTTAGCCTTTATTGCATGTTAACTGTTTATGGCAGTATATTTGGTTAGCATCCGTTGACACGAAGACATGCAGATGCGAGTCTTCTACATTAAATAATTGCATTCTGGTACATGGATATTGTAATTAGGGCTAACATTGTTATCACCAGATTATTTATGCATAATACAAATTTTTCCTTGTAACTTTTGTTAGATTTCTTTGTAGAAAAATCTATCTAAGTTATTCTATATTTTTAATTATGTGGTGATTTTTGTTGTCTAGTTTTTTAGCCGTTTTTATTATGCAGAATTCAGAATGTGTCTATATGTTAAAGGTAAATCATTAATTTTGATGTATTCAAATGTTGTATTCGTATTTCCTTACAACTACCTGGTAATTTAATTTTTTTCTCTTTTAATAGAAGCCACAATCATATCTTGCTCTAATTTCACTAAAATGTTATGACATGCCGTTTAGGTAATATGTTGTCGATCATCCATGATAAAAATGAAGTTTTATTTTGTTTTGTCTTTGTTTTTTCTTCGTTTTGTTTTATATTATTTTGTTCTTTATAGTGGGCTTTGACTTGAAACAATTGATTGTATGGATTTATTGTATATTGTTGCAAGTTTTATTTATTTGTTTAGGCATCAAAGGCTTCCTCAATGAATGTTTGATAGCCAATATATCGAATTGAATTGAATAATGTAGGATGTTGTTGCCTTCATTTGCATTATCGTGTAATCAATGTAGGATTGCAGTAGAAAAAGGGGAAAAGAAGCTCTTTGCCTTTACTTTTCTTTTATGTATTAAATCTATAAAATAGATGTATATGCTTGCATGTGAAAAATTTTTAAGCCAAAATAGGGCTACAATTGTTCTCAATATGTTGGTACCCTTTGTGAGGTTGAGTTATTGTTTTGTAGAAGATCTTGTAATTGGAGCAATTTAATAGTAAATTGGATCGTTTTCATGTTTGGGTGACTTATCTTCTTTTGTGGTTGGAACCAATTTGTTATAATATGATATTTATCTTTTTATTGACCGAATGAATTTTGCATTTTAAAATGATTGTTTTCGTTACTTGTTTAGTTTTTAATGAATAAACGTTGCTAGTGTACAGTAATTTTAAATGAGTATTTAATTATTAAATAATAATATCAAAAAAAAAGGTGCATAACAACAGTAATAATTATAAGTTTGCAAATTAACAGGAGATGAAAACACCATGATAATGAAGGCACTATTCTTTATGATTTGATTTGGTTCCAGGCCTAAAGAAGTAGTAGATGTAATGCAAATAATTAATGTTTGGTAATAATTGAACGAAAGAAGCATGAACTATATAAATACGAAATGTCAACATAATTAGAGTTTATACTCATAAGTCACACATTAGTAATATACATAGCAAATAGAAACATCACTGGTTGTTATCTTCCAAGGTTCTTTTCTCATCGAGTATGTGTTGAGCCTTTTAAAGTCACAATTCTAGATGTCAATCTTCATTTCAGTCTAATGCAACGTTCTTCTTCCCTTTTAGCTTTGTTACTTCTGCTTCCTTCTTGTTATCTGCATGCTAAGAAATAATTTAATAAGTTAAATGCTTTAAATAACTTAGCATGCCGTTCTTTTTATGCCACTTTATTTTTAAGCGTTTGGATTACATAATTTTATAATAATAACAATAACAATAATTATAATTATATATGAACATTAATTTGGCGACATTCACCTTGCCCCACTTGATGTATTTTTAGAATTGAATGTCCTTTCTGCTCGTTGATTACTCATCCATGTTTACAATTTTTTAGCTTGGTGGTGCTTTTGTTTGTAAACTTTTTTCGATTTTATATCCAATAATGGTGCAGGCATAGTGTGAGTCCGCTTTATAGATGCTATTGCGGTTGCGGAGTCGGTGGAGGCGCATCCTTAAGCAAATTAATGATTGATGCCTCTGCAGATTCTATATATATATATATATATATTATATATATATATAGGTAAGTTCTTATAGATACGTGCTTTTACAAAGTTATATTATAATATATATATATATATATATATATATATATATATATATTATATACTATATATATATATATATATTATATATTATTATATATATATATATTATATATATATATATATATATATATATATATATATATATATAAAGAGGTAAGTTTATAGATACGTGCTTTACAAAGTTATATAAATAGTATAAAGAAAATTTTTACCTGATTTGTAAAATTAAATTCAATTGCACTTGTACTGTCTGAATTTTCCTCTATTACTTTGGTTGTTGTAAAACCTTCATTACCTTCCACAAAATTATATCGCGTGGAAAACTTCTCTGCCATTAACCTGATCAAATAATAATATTTTTTAAGCACATACTTAATGTGTTATAAAATATTGTTCAAAAAACTTTTAAGAGGAAGATGAACTCACATATTTTATTGTTCGTGCAACCTCTTGAGCCGGTATTTTCACCAATTTATCAGCTTGTTCATAACAACAAAAGTAGTTTTTGCAGATTCATCTTGAACTTCCATAGTTATCATGTAGCTGTATAATTTTTTTTCCAACTCATTAATTATCAGTCATTATTTGGTATGTAATTGTGGATCATATTGTAAATATTTACATACCTATTTTCTGTAAATACCTCTCTGTCACACTTTGCGCACCAAAAAGTATCTTCCGCATCAATTGTTTTCTTAAAACAATCTGGACATCTGCGATAACGTCATTTTTGGTTATCCATAATAGTATTGATTCTCTCATTGCATTTAAACTATACAAATGTTCGGCCAAGCAGCTGGATAATAAACAATAAATAAAAAATAAAGAAATTGAGAGGGATGATTTGTTGCTTGATACAAGTTGATGAAGTTTTGAAAGGTCAAAGGCACAAGCTCTAGAATGGAGCGTGTCAACTTTTGTGCAGAACGCATCAAATTAGACTCAATAGCCAAATGCTTTCACACTTGACGTAAGTAAAACTTTGCAGCTGGAAGAAGATGAGATGAAGAGACGTCAGCATATTTAATACTGCAGTATAGATAAAGCCATGAATGAGTTCAAACATTTGGATAATTTTCATACTCGATGTAGGTAAGACTTTAACCATGTAATTTATGTAAAAAATTGCATTTCTATTTTAGTTCAATTAAGCATATTGCCATGTTGGTACATCCTCATCTGTGTACTAAGCTTTTAATATTTTCTACCCGAAATTAGGGAGTATGGGTTAGTCATAATTGGATTCAAATCATACATAGATCAAGCCAGTTGACCCGTTATTAATTGGATAAGATTTGGATCTTACCTAATTGCTCAATAGATGCTAGGCTTATTTTCACTTTGGTACTCCAAACTTCACTATATTTTCAGGCAAAGTACTTTTAAACACTCTGATATAGTGATATCCCACAAGTTGCAATTTCATTTCACTTTAATACTCCAACCTGGATATCATTACATATCCAGGTTTCATTTCACTTTTAAACTAGTATTTAGACCCGTGCTTTTGCACAGTTTTTAAATTATATTCTCAAATATTGATTATGTTAACAAAATTAAGTATTATGCTATAAATAATTGTAATATTCTGCTATAAATTCAATTTAGTGTAAAAGTGAATTGAAAAATTAATTAATATTTGCTTATTATTCGTTTATTATTGATCAAGTTCGAAGCGATACTTCATTTAATACTAAAATATATTTTTTAGTATTGGGTTTATAAATAAATAAAATTTAACCAAACATATGCTTGATTAATTTGTTGTCGTTTATTAATTTGATAATTTTTTCATAGAAATTTAACCAAATATATGTTTGATAGTTCATTAACAGTTTTATTCGGTAGTCGAAGAGAGAGATAGAGAGGAAAAAAAACACTGAAACCTTTTCATTTCCACATTGATAGTTAAAAATAACAACAAACGCTTTCATCTAATTTCATCCCACCTCGTTCTTAAGTTTTGATGCGATAGGAAAAAAACAAAAGATTAGATTAATGAACAGATAAACAATTTGATATGAATATAAGCACCCTTTATTTGTATAAAAATGTGATATTAGAACAATGCGGGTTAGTTATAGCTAGAATCTAGTAGCTGTGTTAGTTTAGCTACATTAATCAAAAAACATGACGTAGAAACTAAAATATCTCGGCACACAAAATGCAGGGCTTGTTTGGAATTTTTATTTTTCCCTTTGGAAATTATGATGAATTTTATTTTTTCCATTGGAAATTAAGATGATGAATCTCTATCAGGCTGTGGGGTCATGGTTTGGTTTTTTCTTGGACTTATTCCAAATGTTTGTTATGTAAATTTTGTTTTACAAATGATACCCATTATATACCTACAAATATCAAGGAGTTGGGTTTTAGGGTTAAGGCATTCTCATTTTCATCTGCCCGCCGCCTCCTTCAGATCTGAGCGATCGAATCCTCTCTCCTCTTTCTTTCCCTCTCCTCCTTCAAAACCGACTCTAATTGAAGATTAGGGCTTGGGTTTTCACGATTCTCCATATTTGAATGATAACATGGGTTGATGCACTAGTTTATATCAGATGTTGCAAGTCTAGAAGAAGGTCTTGGCTTCAAAAGTAATGTATCCATCTATAGTCTTTTTCCCCAACTTAAAGATTATTTTCCTCAAAATCCCAAAAAGAAAAAGATGGCGTTTTGGTGCCACTTCTGGACTTAATGGATAGTAAGCTGTTTATTAAATAATATAATTACCAGAACATCATATTGTTTAACATTGGCTGTTAACTGAAAAAATATCCCATATTTGTGGTTTGTGAGATGTATTGGCTCTTGGGCCTTGGCCCTTGGCCCTTGTATATATATAACTCGAGATATCAGGAATGCGCATGAGCCCATTTATATACTTTAAATATTCTCCGTCCAATTCCTCTTTATAAATTTTATATTTGTCGATTTAATTTAAGTGAATGTGCATAAAATATTGTGCACTAATCACAGAGTTACCATGGAACGACTTCCGTAAAACTATGAAAAATAATCATGACCCAGAACATGTCCAATCAAGATGGGTACATCGTCTTGTTGATGCTACAATAGTAATAACCAAGGAAAACCTCACATCGGGATATCAATATTGAGGGCATAGTCATGCTATGAAAGCATGCTTATAAATCACATTTTTAATAGGAGTCGTCTTCATGCACAGTTTCTTATTGCTTGACAACCTAGGTGATCAAGTAATAGTTTTCCATAAAATCATGTGTGTCAAACACAGTAAAGTATAAAGAAAAGATGAAATCTAACTTAAATGTGACTAAAAGAAATGCTACTCGTAGATATTGCGAATAAATTTATTACAAAGCTTATAAGCACATTATTCTTATTTTAGAGTCACACCCCTACTAACTATATGCTACTTATCATAACAGGAAATAAACTAAATAATTAAATAACAAAATCAATGTGTAGTCATTTTAGACTCAAAATAGAAATTAATTATTTAAATATTTATTTACTAGTGATGGAAAGCTATATAGTTTTATAAATATTTTCTACTCTATTTTCACACTTAATATTTTAATAAAAATGAGGGAGGACCAAATCCTTGCATATATGAAAAATATTTATCAGATGATATCTTCAAATGACTTGTAGACTATAAATAATTATTATGTCAAATATAATAAAACAATTTAGTTATTTTAGTTTCTACAAACAAATAATTTATCGGTGGTTTGAACCGTAATTATAGAATCTACAGGGTTTTTTTGAAAAAAATAAAAAATTATAAAATTGTATTATGTATTTTTCTGCAATTCTGAAACTATGTGGACTTTACAAAAAAATAAAAAATTATAAAATTGTATTATGTATTTTTCTGCAATTCTGAAACTATGTGGACTTTACTATAAAGTATAAAAATTGAATTATGTATTTTTCTGCAATTCTGAAACTATGTGGACTTTACTATAAAGTATAAAAATTGAACCTAGTTTGTAAAATTCATAATTTGCAAGGAGCTATATGAACAAGAACTACTGACATAAATAAATTGAAATGTGTCTTACATAATACATAACCCGAGAGTCGAGGCTAAGGAATCACATACATTGAAGAGGCAATGGTAACAATTTATTACAATTATATAATGAATTGTTTCTAGGGTCGGGTTCCAACCCGATTGGAATCAATATTTCACCTCTTTCTCTCGCTACGTCTCTCTCTCTCGCTCTCAAACTCCCGCTCTCGTCACCCTTTTCTCCCTCTGTCTTCTCCTTCAAACCTTAGAACCCAATGCCGCGGGAAAAGAGAAGGTCGTCGGATATTTGGAGTCTCAGTCTACGTCGATGACGGACGAGGCATCGACGAGCGGATATCGGGCGAGCAGGTCACCATTGTCGACGTTGCCGCCATCGAGGAGATTGCCGTTTCCAAGATTATCGCCGAGGTCAACAAGAGCGAGTGGATTCATACAAAATCATCAAGATGCCAAACGAAGAAGAAAATTAAATCCAGTAACAGAAGCATTTGAAGAGTGTATACCTGAGGCGATCTCGCTGCAATCTTGGAAACGGCGATCTCCTCGGCGTCGACAATGGCGATCTACTCGCCCGGTATTTGCTCGTCGATGCCTCGTCCGTCGTCGGCGTAGATTGCGACTCCAGATCTCCGACGACCTTCTCCTTTCCCGACGACATTGGGTTCTAGGGTTTGGAGGAGAAGACAGAGGGAGAAAAGGGCGACAAGAGCGGAAGTTTGAGAGAGAGAGAGAGACGGAGCGAGAGAAAGAGGTGAAATATTGATTCCAATCGGGTTCGAACCCGACCCCAGAAACAAGTCAGTATATAATTGTAATAAATTGTTACCATGGCCTCTTCAATGCATGTGATTCATTAGTCTCGACTCTCGGGTTGTGTATTATGTAAGACACATTTCAATTTATGTCAGTAATGCTTGTTCATATAGCTCCTTGCAAATTATGAATTTTAGGAACTAGGTTTAATTTTTATACTTTATAGTAAAGTCCACATAGTTTCAGAATTGTAGAATATTAAATAATACAATGTTATAATTTTTTGTTTTTTTTCAAAAAACCCTGCAGATTCTGTATTTACAGTTCAAACCACCGATAAATGATTTGTCTGTTGAAACTGATATAACTAATTTATTTTATTATATTTGACATAATAATTATTTATAGTCTACAAATCATTTGATATTTTTTTATATATGCAAGTATTTGGTCCTCCCTCATTTTTATTAAAATATTAAGTGTGCAAAATAGAGTAGAAAATATTTACAAAACTATATGGTTTTCCATCACTAGTAAATAAATAATTAATTTCTATTTTGAGTCTAAAATGACTACACATTGATTTTGCTATTTAATTATTTAGTTTAATTTCTTGTTATGATAGGTAGCATATAGTTAGTGGGGGTGTGACTCTAAAATAAGAATAATGTGCATATAGGCTTTGTAATAAATTTATTCGCAATATCTACGAGTAGCATTTCTTTTAGTCACATTTTAAGTTAGATTTCATCTTTTCTTTATACTTTACTATGTTTGACACGCATGATTTTATAGAAAATTATTGCTTGATCACCTAGGTTGTCAATGATTTTATAGAAAATTGTTTAGTTAACTTTGTTTAAAAAAATAAAAATCAAAGATAACACGACCTAAGTTCTAAGCAATGTTGAAATATATGATAATGTATAACTTAAGGTCTCTTGATGGCTTAGAGCATAATGCATGATATGTAGTTTACATATTTTCTCATTATTTAATTTAATAATGTAAAATATGTTCCTTGTAAAAATTAGGAAAAGAATATCAAAATACAAAAAAATAATTTAACAATTTTTTTTAAATCTTACAAATGATGCACATTTACCCACAAGTATCACAATAGAACATTCATTTTATTAGACACGTTCATAATTTCACAATTACATATAATGATGTCATAACTTGACAAACAATTTACTTAATTATGT